AACCTTCCTTGTGCCGTACTTAAGCCAATCATATGCTGAATGGGTCCTCTGGTACAGCCTCGTTTCCGGATTACTTCCTCCTTTGCCGCTTACCCCCTGGGCGCTGGATCGCTGCTGGTGTCCGGTGCTTATTGCCCAAACCTCTTGCCGACCTTGCGCGACAGACAGGGATGGTGGTGAATATTATCCCCGACTTCCTCAAATCCTTGGCAAGCGGCCTCCCGCGAACCGGTGCCTATCTGCAATGGCCCGCCACTCACACTTCGGCTGGTTTTTGCCACGTGTAGCTCTTGATAGATTCTCAGCATATCTGTCCAACACTGAGGGAATTTGGCAGTTCAAGAAAATTTCCATAGATGGTTTGCCAGTTTAGACCAGCTTGCTCCCATCGTCACGTGCTTCTATCCCGATGAGTTTTCTGTGAGGAGGAGATGCCAGCTTGATTTATTTTGAGATCAAACACTCCGGATACCATCTCCAACGTCCCGCCAGCCCTACTGTTACGTTTTGGTATGTACATTTCATTTCGATCAATGCCCAAGATATGCGCAGCTCTCAGGTGCTGTTGGATGCTGAATGGCATTGGCAGGTTGAGCTGCTTCACTGTGACGTTGTTCTGCAACGAAGCCAGGTAAGGGTGCGATGAAGCATATCATAATAGACTTCCCCGCCTGTAGCCCTTTATGCGGTCGAAAGCATGGGGCAGAGGAATTCAACTGACAGCTGGCGCAACCAACATCTTCCAATCTTCTTGCCAAGGACTGCCGCCATTGCAGACAATGCGTCTTTTGGTTGGCCCGTTCGCCCTGAAGAGGACCTCAGGCCAGGCCATGAGAGACGTGGCGTTCCGTAACGCGAGAGTTTCATATGCCAGCGTGCTGCGCCCTTGATAATCTTGAGCCAACCGCATCATGTAGGAAGCAGATTCAGCACTTTATTGCCAACTTGCATGATCGTAGCAGTCGCCTGCAGGCTCTGGATCCCTCACCCAATACTTTCCACTTGCCTCGCGTATCAGGTCGTTCGCTGGTCACACCATCGATGTCAAGCACCGACAGGCGGTGGTGAAGCTGACGTCCGTGGAAGAGTGAAGCGAAGGGTGACCCGGACCGAGCAGACGAGGTCTTGAGTTGATAAGCCGCAATGTGTGCACAACCAAACACCATCAAGCACAACAGGCATCTTCTGTTTTTTGTCTACCTACTCCTTCCTCTCTTAGCCAACTCCTTGGCTAAAGGCCTATCTGCCACTACGATGACTTCGCCACCGACTCACGATCCTCCCAAGGCAGGCAAGCCCGCTCATATCCAAGGGCCTGAAGGTGTTTTCGACGAGTTCATTTCTGTCCTTGGGAGATTTTGCACCGAGAGTGGGTTCCAGGGTTTGAAGACCATGGTCCGAGATCATGACAGGCTTGGAGAGGAACTTAGCGACACGAAAACCGCTTACAGCAAGAACCTCGAAAAATTGACCCAAGTGATCACAGATCGAAACGTTGAAAAAGAGTTGTTCCAAAAGAAGACTGATGAGCACAACAAACATTACAAAAAGGTCTTGGAAGAAAAAGCAACGGCGTACCGAAAACTTAAGACTGAACAGGACACTTCCACGACGTGGGAAAAAAAAGCTGAACTCCTCGTGAAGGATGTCGAAAGATCCATCGCTACCAGCAAGAAACACGAGGCTCGCATCACGGAGCTTGACAGCATCATTGACAAACAAAGAGAGCAGCTCAAGACGGCCGAGGAGGAAACCGCTGAGCTCAAGAGCAAGGTGCAGGCCACAAATGACCAGCTAGGCACCAATTCAAAGGCTTTAGCAGCTGCAGAGAGCAAGCTCGCAACAATCATGTCTTACACTGCTGTGATGACATCTCTCAAAGATGTCAGAGTGGAGATGTATGCACAAAGTTATTGAGCACGGTATGAAGGATGCTAACTATCCATGTCAGAACAGATATCCTTGCCTCGTCGTTCAAAGACGCCTCAGCCTTGTTTTGGGAGTTCCTCGGTCGTGATATCTCCGAGGACCAGCTACAGGACCTGAGTTTTTGGGATCGCGTTAGAGATCACGTAGCCATACAACGTGCAATTCCCTTACCGGCCTCGAATTCAACCCAAGCGAAGCAGATGAGGGCAACCGCGGGTCTGATCATTTATGCTAGAGCGCTGACCAGATACGTCTTCCGACCAACGTACTTTTCACAGGAAAGTGATGACAAAGAGTTGTTAGACGCGCTGCCTACGACGAATGCCTTTCAAGACACAGTTGTTCGAGCCGTGCTGCTCGAGGTGTTGCCGGACAAGCAGAGGATGCGTCAAGAAGCGTGTGCCCAGCACGTGATCGAGGATGTGATAGCGGCAACAGTTGGCTGGGTACCGGCCGACCGACGCGCGACACTGAGATCACGTCTTAGCAGCCTTACGAGCATGCTGTGTGGGGCTTGGCAACGTGTACAAAGGCTACGCGAAAGGGTCGAGCCGTGCTTTACCTTCGAGACCCTGGATGATTGGCAGCAACTGCCGCCATGGATAGACACAGTTCCATCAGACAATCGCGCGAAGGCATCACTACCGCGTCAGGGAAAAGGAGGGCATCAGCCACGACAGGAACACTCGAAGCTGGTGGGGTTCTCGACTCAAGATGTATTTCAGGTTGTGTGGCCAGCTTTTCTCGTGATCGGCCTCGAGCAAGGTACGGAGGAGGAAGAGGAAGGTACATCAGACCTTGTGTGCCATGGGTACGTGCTTACGCGTGCCGGGGTCCAAGACGCCGAAGATGAGGACACGCCGCGCAGAGCCATGCGAAGGGCTATGCGTCACAGTAATGCTGTGGCCCAAAGAAACAGACGCGATTCGGCTGTTTTTTTATCCCACGGAGCCTTCAATGGATCGGACGTCAAGTGACCCGCCGCCGCTAGTGGGCCAGCAAAAGCAGATGGACCATGAGCTGCGATACTTTCCTGATTGGCTTTAGGTGATAGGGTTCGAGAAAAAGCTCCTCCGGACTGCGTATGTCCACTTCAGATTGAAATACTAGACGACCAGCCCTGAATATGAGACCCACATGAGAACCGCCAGTAAACCTGTCCTGAGACTCCTGTTTGGAAGGAATCGCATCCGTTTGATAACATTATCACATTGCTATGATAATGACAAGATTGAATCATCTACTTGCAACCTCCATAAATGCTTTCGCGCAGCAGATGGTCTGTCACAATCGCTTCAAAGGTCGCTCTTCCGGGGAGAGTCAGGAGCATCAGGCTGTTCGCGTCATTTCGTGCTTGTGAGCCTTAGGCAACGCTTTCGCTGAGCCTGGCATAGCGGCCACCGTTGAAGCCGTCGCGGAAGATGATTCCTTCGATAGGGGGGGAAGCTCGTAATTGTCGTGCTATGGGGCGTAACAGACACTCGTTCGACGGTCGTTCTTGTTCTCTCGGTTCTTGAACTGCTTGCCTGCTAATGGTCAGCTGTGCACGACTGTAGCGAAGAAAAAGCTACTACCTAGACACCGGCTCGCAAAGGTTGAGAGCCGGTCACGTTCTGCGCGCGTCCTCGATCTATAAAAGCCATCACGGTGGGGAAAGAGCAGAATGCCTACCTTACCTCAACTTGGAGAGTTGGGAAGAGTGCTTGCTAAAATATATATGGAGTATTTCAGTATTCAAGGAGTGGGTACTCGGTTCGTGGCGGGAACATTATTGATATCTGGTGGCTCTTGTTGCACTCAGCCGATAAAGTCAGTTTTGGCGCGGTGGCAAGCTGGTAATCCAACATTTACTCTGTGCATGTCGCCACGCAGTTGTTTGCGAGCAACTCCAAGTGGCAGCTTGGTGATAGAATGCACTCAAGTCAATATGGACCACGATCAGAAATCAGTGGCATACACAAGTAAAAAGCTTGTGTTTTTCTTTCTTCTTCTTCTTTTTCCTTTTACCAAAACTCATTTCCGCCGCAATTATGGTAAAAGTACATGAGCCGTGCAGATAGGGGAGACGTTCATCGCCTTCTGGCGATGTCCTTCGGCTTATCAGGAAGATCTTCATTGGCCGTTACTATGGGCGTTGGCAAGGGGTTCATACAGCCGAGTTGTTTTCGAATAACTAGCTTGCGGCTCTCCTTATCTCATTAGTTTAAGAATGATGGCTAGTCAAGTGGCCACGTCAATCTTTCGAACACAGAGAAATGCTTGGTGTTCTGAGTTGCAAGGAACGTTGCGTCAACGAACACTTAGCGACTGCATGTCCGGCTGGCCTTTCTAGGAACGACGTAAGAAGGTATAGTTTGACAATCGTAAGATGTGAAATTCTAGAGATATGAATGAATTAGTGACGCAAACGCAAGCCGAAAGCATATCAATATCAAAAGCGTACTATTGCTAAATGCGTAGGATACTAGTACGAACAGCTTACTAGTATGAACAGATGCAAGATTCTAGACCTGGCTATTGTACTAGTATGTTTTTCAACTTATGCCGGCATGCTGTTCGTACCAGTATGCTATTCATACCAGTATGCTATTCATACCAGTATGCTATTCATACCAGTATGCTGTTCGTACCAGTATACCGGCCGGGTGTGTATAGATAGCATACTAGTATGCTATTCATACCAGTATGCTATTCATACCAGTATGCTATTCATACCAGTATAACTGATGGTAGACACGTTGGTGTGCGAAATGTAACGGTACCTCTGTCACGGGGTCAGGCACGGGACATTACATCGCTACGTCACGCCGTGGAACATCTGGCAAGGTAAGCAAGCTTAAAATAAACACAGCCATTTTTGGCTTCTCATGCTCGGGATCTGGCTCCAGAATTGCGACTACCACAGGGTCATCCGGTGGAAAACAATGATATTTTTAAAGACGGCTGTTTTTGGACACGTCATTCAAGATGCTGAAACATTGTTCATGTTCTATTTCGGTGGCACTGTATTAGTAAGTTCAGACTGTCGGGCAGCATCCATCTTAGCAATAGCATCACTCCGCGGCCTAAACATGGCATCTCCCCCTCAGCGCCTAGTCAAGAAGCGAGACAGGTCTAGTGAGAATTTCGTCAAGGCAACGAAGAATCTTTTAGCACGATGCGACCGAATAAGGGAGCAATACGATGCCGACATATACATCCAAGTCCATCGGTCACAGAGATACTTCATGTACACTTCATCTAATGAGCCATCCTGGCCTAAGACCCAGGCGGAGGTGGTAAGTACCGCTGTAGAGTAACCGTCTAATGTTAACATTGAGAAGGGAAAAATGTACCCTGTCCCTGTGACAAGAACCCCTCAGGACTTTGCCGGTAAGCGAAGCCGCGCCTCGACCATCTGTACAACACAGGCAACCGCAGAAGAAGAAACCAACGCCTCATGTTGCGATGGGGAGAGGGCGTCAGTGGTAGATCGTCGTGGTGTTCTGGCTCAGAATCATGGTGTGGATGCATATTCCTGTGACGAGCCAGCAGGGCAAGAGATGGTGCCTCTGGGAGGGCACAGCACGTGCAGCATGGGAAAATAGTCTAAAGTGATAGCTCAATAAGGGTATGTATATATGGTAAAGTCAGCTAGCCAAAGGAAAAGCGTTTTCACAGTCAATCGCCACACCCAGTTCACGGAAGCATCCGAGTTGATCATTTCTAAGGCCTGCACATGGTGTTAATACTGGGTATGAGCGACCCGGGAATAGTAGCGCTATTGAATTTCCAGGGAATGTTAAAGACTTCATAGTGTGCAACGGGCCGGTGCTGTCAATACTACTGACAGTAGCGGTCCAACACTGGTCACCTAATTCCAGTGATCTGAGAGATAAAGACACCTACCCACGCAGGGCCACGATGCTTGTTTCCTGATGACCACAGCCAATGCCCAGCCACTTGGATGCCAAGGTGGACTGTGCTACGCATCGTATTTTGGTACAGGACGCTCATGCACGCCAATCTGGCGCGCTGGCTTCGGTAACTGCTGCGCTTGGAGTTGATTCCGATGCTTGTCGAAAGTACTTTGAGCTCTTTGACAGTACTTCGCAGCACAGATATGGGCCGTAGTCAGCCGTCATTGCCTGCTAGAATTGGTTTTGATCAGCGGAAAGTGGCTGTAGGCAAGTAGCTTTGAGTAGGCGCTGCAAGACCTTGTACATGAAACGTTGCCTATCATGTAGAATCAGACTCTTTTGGTTCTTAGCGCGCGAGCTCCTTCTGACAGTTTTGGTCCTGTCAGCCCACACGAAACGCTGGCAGGGACCCTGATCGATTACTCCAGAAATGGCTTATGCCAGAAATAGATGAACTCCGAGGCGTCACTGTTGAATCATGAAACAAAAGTCCCAATCTCTGAACAGGCGCCATCAAGTTTTCCACGAAATGCTTTACTCGACGAGATCTTACTCGACATATGTACCACCAACGGATTACTATCTACTACCTGAGTCTCACGCGAACGCAAAGACGATTTTGGCTTACGCCCGTGTATCAAACACCCCCAGGTACTCCTGGCCTGTGCACTCAGACGATGATCAGCGCAGGAGGCCCTCACTGGCTTGAGTGCTTGCATGATGTGGGGCCCACAACGAGAACATGCCCGATTGTTGCGTCTTCCTCTGTCCTTTAGCCGGCGGCACACGCCCTCCCTTCGAAGGCGACAACAAGGCTGGCTGACTATGCTTGTCAAGCCCTCAATTACCATCTGTCGCCCTGGGTGTGGATCTACTCGACCTTGTCTCTCTGGGGGAGCATCGTGAGAGTTAGTGATGAGGCGACTCGAATGGAATGCTTGCGCGGTGTGGGCCGAAATGCTTTTGTGGCCATGACCCAACCCGTCACTGCACCAACTGGAACCGGCACAAAGGCCCCACTTCGTACCGAGCAAACCCGGACGCTTTTCTGAACCCCTCTCGGGCCGTACATTCCCGGAGCTGGGAATGCGCTTAAGGGACACGATTGCGATCCTCTGAGTAAGAGCAATGAGTTGTTGCTCACGTTTTAGATGGTTCTCATACATTTCACAGTATAGCTAGTGCTAACTCATGGTGATGGGTTACATCCTAACACTTCGGTTCGCATCTCGTGCCGAACGTCGAGTCCGGAAGAATTATCTCACAAAAGTCTTTGCGGGAGGTTTAGAGCCGTTTGAATATCAAAGTCGTGGTATCATTCCACTCTGTGCCTGGCACGGTCACCACACAAGCGCCCAACCGTCAAGACTAGAAAGCAAACCTTCAGAGGCCAGGTCGAGCTGGTAAGCATCCTGTCTAGTACCGGAGCCTTTCATCTCGGTGGCAGTACGATGTGGAGAAGCTCAAATGTCGAACGCCAATAAATATATGTAATGGTAACCGCGGTGCCAAAAAGCCGGGAGCCAAGCTATTGACATTGGAAAAGATAGCTCGGTCACTCTCCAGCTCCTGTCACACACATCCTAGACCTGCTCGTAACCCTCCTTCCATACGCCCAAACCCCATGCGCACCTAACCATCTCCATTCAACGCTCAAGCTTGGAAGGTGTTCAGTCGACAATCGTATGTCACTCTAGGGGAGTGCAAAATTCGCCTGGCTGATGGGCCACTGGTTTCAGCCGCCCTGTCTTCTGAGATCACCGTTCCGGCGAGTTCGTAAACACATGTGTATCGTTATCGGTGTCTATTGATTCAGCCTCGGTACTCTTAGACGCAGACTTCGGTCGCTCTGGTTCAAGGTTGGGCGGTTCGGACACGCGCGCCACCTTGGGAGACCACTGTAATCGTGCCCGTTGCGAGGAAGGCGTTGAACGTGTACCCCATCCAACATGTGCATTAGTCAAGCCTTCAGAGGAAACACTCTTCGGGCGTTCGGGATCGTAAAAGTATGCTTCTTGCCCAGAAGTGACACGTAGTTCGAGTTTTTGTCGGCGTGGGCCAGGAATAGGTCCAGCTTCAGGCCAGGATATTTGGGAGCGTTTGATGGGTTTCGATGGCGCTCGTGATGCCGTTTGCAGAGCTCTCTCCTTGAACTTGATTATTTTATCTTCATTCAGGCCGAGTATATCTTCCAACTTCTCTACGACGAGTTCAGGGTGTTCGACAATGATTTCGTCGTCGTCACTATCGTCACTGTTGCTTTCCTCTTTAGGAAAATGGCTGGCACCTCTGAGTTGGACGTCGTAGAAGTCGGCAAGGTAGGCGAGCATGGACCGGTGCCATTTAGTTTGTGGATCCCTCAAAGAGTAAAAATCGTTCGCGTTCCGAGGAAAACGTGAGGAATCAGGCTCAAGAATGCCGCGTCCAGGGCGATACACAACAACAGGTCGGATAGGGAGGGTTGGGTTCTTCAGGGCATTGTTCCGCGTGAACGCTTGAGACCGGCTCATCTCGGCTTCAAGGTATTGCATCTGAACCGTAAAGTCGCCTCTAAGGGTTGTGACGTCGTCTTTCAGGGCCGTGAAGTCGTCTTTCAGAGCCGTGACGTCGTCTTTCAGAGCCGTGAAGTCGTCTTTCAGAGCCGTGATGTTGTCTCTGACCTCCTTGATGTCAGCTTTCAACTCCCGCTTGACGTCGTCGACGGAACATCGAATGGAAGCGAGTTCAGCATTCCAATGCTTGTCCTGGGAATTTCGTAACTCTATGTATTCGTCGCGGGAGAGGTACTGTGACCGGTGTTTGTCGGGAAAGGAAGAGGAAACAGGCGTCGCTGCCATGGTAACGGTGGTGAGAGTGGTTGTAGAAATGACCATTTGCGACGATCGGAATGGTTTGGTTGTAGGCGCTATGGCATGGCTTTGTCAGAATATGCCTTGACAGGCGCTCATGTCGGGAGGAGGTGGGCTGTTAAGTACCCATCAAGGGAGTTGTGGGGTGGATGTCAGGCTTTCATTGGCTGTCTTCTCCTCGCCCGAACAGAAGACATTCAAAGTTGGGCAGCGCTTCGCACAGTTCCATCCTGAGCACCTTTGAACGCGACTGGTTGGGACCAAGGGTTTTCGCTCAAGGCCTGAGCAGGAACACTACAGACGTTTGTGTGTGATTTGCAAAGGCCACGATGCAGCATTATTGCGTTGCACCCATCCATCCCTCTCTGTGTCCGCATGCTAACCTCGGGTGACTGCCTGGCCATGATACAGTGTGATAGCGTAATCTGCCTTGTAAATTGTGAGTCACTGGCCATGATTCAAGTCGCAGTTACATTTCCGTGCTGAACAGAGGGGTCCAGACTTGTGTTCTCCAAGTTACAAAACAGATTTTCAGCGAAGATTTATACAAGCAACCAAATAAAAAAGCGCACGAAAGTACGCAGGGACATGGATGATGTTCTAAGCAGCACCGACCGAGATGGCTCCTGATAGTACATACACCGGATCTGGGTACGAGGTGAGGGCCACGTTGACGCCTACGCCGGAAGGGCGCTTCAACGCGTTGCACTCACCAGCAACGACACCTCCGAGCGCTCACTGCGATTTACTGCTTGAGAACCATGTGCAGTAGCGGGAACAAAATTTTGAACAGGCAACTTAAAGAATGGATAGTGTAGACAATACATAGAGCGAAGTGGGTATCGCGCTTGATCCTCAGTTGTTCGGCTTTCAGTGGCCTGGCCTTGTTTGTTTGTCACCCGGGAGCGGAGTCCCCGCTGACCATGTAGCCTAGAATCCTGGATCTAAGATGTGCAATGAAGCCCGCAGAGGGGATTGCGATCCACTGACTTGAATTTTGATCACGGTTCCGAGCCAGGAACGTGGATGCTTGGGTACACGATGGCCAGCGAGGAAACCAGACTCTTGGGAACATCTGCGCCAAATATACAACGCACCGTTGGGCTCCATCCATGAGCCACTGTAGCAAATTGCAGGTCCGTATCAACCACTTAAGCGGTGCGCAATCTGGGTTCCTGATGAGGCAGGCCTATCGCAAGACGTGTTACCTCTCCTCACGTCGCTGTGGCTGGAACCTAGAAAGGCTGGTCGTGATGCGCGAACTATATGGCAGGCGCCTGCTCTGGAACACAGACTTCCATTCGCTTCGCTGAAATCTGCAAGAAGGGGAAAGAGGATCTTCACGTTCTTCAATCGTACGTTGCCTACGCATCGTGGTTTTTGCTAAGCTTGCTTCAGTCTATGGCTACTTTGGTGCGTGGCAAAGGCCAAACACCAGCAAGGGATTGTATCGATAGTAACGAGCATATGTGCTTCCTCTTCGCAACACGCGTCATCTTTCTGGACTTGACCCCACACAAGCTGGACTTGGAGTTGATTTGTAAAGTTCACCACGCTTGGCAGTGGGTAATGGCCGTTATTGAAGCCAAACAAGGTGTCGAGTAGATTTCAATGAAGCGCCGCAACTCGTACTGCTAGACGCCATTCCGACCCCACATTTTGTTTGCAAACAAGCTGCCGCAGCCATTGCCAAAGGTTTGCTGAGGCCCATCACAGCAGTGTTGGACTTCTCAAATGTTGAAATGTTTGCAAAAGAGGAAGCGATACATGCGCAATACTGTAATGGCTAGTCATTACAGTTGATGACTTCATATTAGTAGGTCAAGTATTTAAAGTCGCTTTGTGCCACTGTATCTGCCATTGAGACGGCCATTTCACTTCTTCCAAGATGCCTGCTCCTGTGGACTTGGCGCAGGAGGTAACGTCTTTGTTTCGTAGCGACCGCTTAGCATACATACTAACAGCGAAAAAGTTGCACAGCTTCTGTCATCGTCTCGATTGCGATTTTGATGCGGTCAGTTCCTTCCTCGACCAAGACGTTTCGTTTCGAGATAAGTTCACAGCCGTGATTTCGAGATATATGTACCAGCCCCGGGTCATGTCTAGTGTCGAGGCCACCCTAAAACCGACACAAGCCGGCTCGGCCATGCCTCCCTGTACATGCGATGGTGAGGCAGGCTCAGGATCAGACGGACATGCACCTGGCCGCTCGCCAATTGCTTCCGTCGAAGCCAATCCACAAGCTTTTGGAGGCGCGTCGCCAACGCGCAAATCCGTAGAGGCTGATGGCGCGGCTGCCCCCATGAAGCGTAGGAAGGATAGCAGAGCTGGACGCATCCCACCAATCATCGCCAAGTTGGAGAAGACCGGTAGCCCAGAGACTCTCGTACGCCTATGGGACAGCTGCAGAGCATCGAGGGCTCGAGATCAGAGTATCGTTAGCGGGACGCGACAGGTCCTGCCTGGCGAACCGGAAGGTGACTTGGATGGCCCGTCTGTGCTGGAACGACTTGATTCCCTCAGAGAGCAGGCGGCTGCAGCTAGTTCAAGCATTCACTTTTCCATTGCTATCAAG